GGACAGGACAGATGAGCTGAGCCCCGCCACTGTCTGTCTGTCTGTCTGTCTGTCTGTCTGTCTGTCTGTATCTGTGTGTGTGTGTGTGTGTGTGTGTATATGTGTGTGTGTGTGTGTGTATATATATATATATATATATATATATATATATATATATATATGTGTGTGTGTGTGTGTGTGTGTGTGTGTGTGTGTGTGTGCAAATGGGACATCCATTACCGAGCTAAGGCAGAAGCCCAGAAGTCCCCGCACGAAGGAGTATCCACAAGCTGCACATTGAGGGACACACAACCAGAGTATGTTGTATGTCAAGTATGTTGAGTATGTGTGCATAAGTGTGTGTTGATCTTTGTGACTACGCTTCTGCAAATGTGTATGTCACATTTTACAGTTTTGTTACATGTACACAAATATGTAGCATATGGGTTGTGTGGTTGAGATCAGCCAATCATATTCACTATCAGATCAAAATCCTTACCTATGCTTCTTAATAAACATGTTTTTCCTTCACATAATGATCTTTGCAGATTATTTACATGTTAAAGGGTCATACATTTAAAAAATATATTGTATTATTTTGCAAAGTGGAGATTTACCAAGGATTCATACTATGAGGACACTTCAGGGTCCGATTTGGATAGACAAATGTCTCCGATGACAATGCAGGGGGAAACAATTTAGCCCTCCAGCACACCTGTTACAGCAGTTAAAGACTCTGAAATAATCCCTCTTAATTGGCTGAGAGGACAGTTTGACCTTAAACCTATAAACACCCATTAGTGTAAAAGTGCCCTAAATTCCCATGCCTAAATATAGTCAAGCAACATTTCTACTAACATTTCTCATAAACTTGAGTTTCCTAAATCTGGTGACAACTAATTGCAATACCTATATATAAAGATTAAAAAGACAAAACGACTGATTATTTCCAGTGACAATGTTTTTTCCATTGTACCTCTGACTCATTCTAAACTAAACAGATTTTTTAAAACGTTCCATGCCTAAGAAATTTCAAGTGTTACACCCTTCCGAGACACGTGTCATTTTATTGTTACTCGTTCAAAATCCTTTCACTCCGTTTTCCAGGAGACCTGTTCAGCCATAACTCATACTCGACCATGAGGTGCACTTTGTAGAGCTATGGGATTTGGAAACACAGACCAAACCTCCAACAAATATGGATTCATTCACAGATCCATCATGGCTAACCCGACTTCCTGTTACGGTAAGGGTGCTGGGGAAAGGGGTAGCGCTTAAAAGTGCATCGTCACCACTGGTTACTGGAGATTTGGGAATTTGAAAACTGCAAGACGTGTGAAAGTTATCACTACATAGCACAGCTGAAAGTCTTTCCTGGAAAAAAGAAAAAAAAGAGCTTAGTGTTCACGGGTCTCAGTGTCTATAAATCGTATTTCTTGAGGGAATCACAAGGATGCAGATTTTTAGATTTATGCGACGAATGTGGCCTAACTGTTGTTATTGAAAAAGAAACAAATGTGCAGGCACCGGAACACACCAGGAATGCAGGTCTAATCTTAATCCCTATCACACATGTTAGGTACCTATCCATTTCAAGACTGTGAATCATGCTTATTGCATAGAAGGAACATACATACACACACACACACACACACACACACACACACACACACACACACACACACACACACACACACACACACACACACACACACACACACACACACACACACACACACACACACACACACACACACACACACACACACACACACACAGCCCACATACTCCTGCCATCCCTACTTTTCTCCCACTTTCAATTCTGATGTAAAGAGTAACAATTTATGAAGGCAATCCGGGTTTCTCTTCCTCCCACACTCTATCCTTCCCTCCACTTCCCATCCCCGACCAGACATGACCCTATACTGCAGGGTGGAGTAGTAAAAGTCTGGATTTTGGTGAGCTGAGTGGAGATGGCGCACAGATGGAGATGGTCTCCCCTTACAGCCTTAAATAAATTAGAAAGATAGAGAGGAAGAGAAGAGAGAGGAAGTGCTGGAGGAAGAGGCGGGGGAGGAAGGGGGGGCTGAATCCAAAAGAGAAATAAAAACATTTGCAGCTTGTTATGGGAATTTTCCTCCCACGTGGAAATATTTCCTTCATGTCTTCAGCCGAGGAGCCTGTTATTCATCTCTCCACCTCTCTCTTTTTCTCTCCACCCCCATTCTACCCTCCCTCCGCCCCTCCATCACCCCTCTCCAGACTGGGCTTTCACTTTGGGGGGCCCTCAGCTTCCCTCTCGGCTGACCAGGGAGCTTTCAAGGTACCCTGATGGATGCTAATGCTGGACTCTTTCAGATCGTTTTACAGCCGGAGCCTTTGATCTGCCAGCAGGCCTCTCTCCACGGGCTGCCTGTCCTGAGAAAATGTAAATCCCCGCCTTACAGACACCTGTAAAAAAAATACAGCAGAAAGGAGGATAGAAAAAGAAGTAACTCTAAAGAAAAAGGGAAAGAAAAGATACAGTATTGTGACATTTGGAAAAAAAAGAGGGTATAGTTTAGATTGCAGCAGGGCGACAGAGAATGAGAGGGAAATTGTGCAGAAATAAGAGCGAGTGGCAAAAAAAAGGAGGGGGACAGGCCTGCAGAGAAAGGAGCGGAGAAACTGAGACATGGCAACCAACAAAGAAGGAAAAGAGGAATGGGTACCGCGCAACACAGAGACAGAAGGGACATAGATGGAGGCAATAGAAAGAAAGGCTACAACGGCAAAAAAGGAAAGGGAAGTTCATCTAAAGACCCAGCATGGAAGACAGGGGCAGAATGGATAGGAGAGAGAAAGCAAGATGAAAATAGTGGAATAAAAAGTTAGTGAAGGCAGAGACAGATGGACAATTTGACTTTGGGAAGAAAGAAAGACCGAAAGCCAACCCAGACAGACGCATGAGGCCTGCTGCGCAGCTCAAGGGCGGATGTGTGTGTGTACGGCTGAGAATTTAGGAAGGAAGAAGTGAAAAAGAAAGTATGGTGGAGGGGACTCGACAGTGAAAGAGGCCTCCCTCACCCGCGGCAGCAGCGCTCTGAATAGCGGGGCTGCTGCTGGACAGCTGGGTGCAGCTGATCGGGGGACAGACTCTGTGGAGGAGCGCTTGTCTTCCTGCAGCCAGCTGCTGTGTCCAGAGGCCAGCAGTGACAGCACAAGGCTCAGAATTGATTGCCAGAGCTGGCAGTTCAATGGGGTGGATGGAGTGCAGTGAGGGTGACTTCTCTGAAGTAGTGTGCACTGTACAGCAGCAGCAGAGCACAGCTGGCACTCACTGTATCCTCTTCTGAGAAAGAAAAGGGGGGCCAGAAGAGAGATTGCTATTATTGTGACCCTTCCTTGTCTCCGCTTTCTTTTCTTTCTTCTCTTTCTTCTGCCCTTACAGCCACTTGCTATCATTGCTCTTCCACTGTTCCCCAAGAGAACAGCGGAGGAAATGGCTGTCTTGCGGAGGAGATAAACTGCATTGAGAAGAAGTGCTCTGGAAGTCAAATGCTCCATATGAGAGTTGCTGTACAACAGCCTACAGTCTAGCATGCAGGTAGAAGGCTGCACACTAAGCCGTGAGGTTTCTTTCTATAGTCAGGGCTCTTCCTGTGTGCAAAGTCTACACTCTTGAGGCAAAACAGGCTCTAGTCTTAATTTACTTTGTGTGTTTTATTGCTTTATTAGATTCAGGAGGAGGGGCTAGAGTGAGAAAACATCAGGTATGTTCCTGTACATAGTAAAGTCTGTGGGTATCAAAAACCTGAAAAAATGAACTTTCCTTCTGAATTTATGTCATTAAATGCATTTAGTTATTTGTCTCCTCTATGTGGAATATATATAGTTGTGCTTTGTGAGATGTTCACACCTGAATACATTCTTTAAACAACTACAAAATTATAGGGACGCTTGGTCACATTGGAAATTCAGTTACATACATCAATAAACGGAGCATACGTGTGTTTTATTACTTTAATGCTCTGTGTCCTGCTGAGGCATTTAAATAATATTGTAATTTTTGCAACCACAACAGTAACAAAAACAAAATGGGGCAGTTCAGCATACAGATGGGCCGGGCCTTTTATCACGACCTTGTCAAAGTCCCCTGCAGACCTGAGGTCAAACACACCTCCAGTGGCGTGATTATAGCGCTGCCACTTCTCTGATCCAGAGTTACGTTTCCTTCTGTTTCCTCATACTGCTTCATGCTCTCACCCACACACACCTCTGTCTCTGTCTCTGACCTCAATGACTGTTGCTTCCCCCCTCCTTTTTCCCCCCCCAACCTTCCTGTTGTCCTATCAAAACAGGAATGATATAACTCTCCTTGTAGCTCCGGATGGGAAGACAACCGAGCCCAAAGTCCACGGTAGCAGCAGCATCTTCCTGTCTGCATGTCTGTTCCTTGTCTGTCCGTCCGTCTCTGTGTTTTCTGATCAGGGCACATCCGGCCATCCTGACTCCCCTGCGACTCTCCCAGGCCTGTGTGTCAGTAGGAAGGAAGGAAGGAAGGCCCTGCGATCACACAGAGGGAGGGTTCGGAGAAAGGGGAGGAAGTGTGAAAGGGTGTCTTAGCTGGAGCTGATCCACTCCATTGGAGTCTCTCACTATAGAAGGGCTGTTTGGAAAGGGACAAGGCCAAGCGTAAGTGTGTGTGTCGGTGTGTGAGCATCGATGGCTGCGCACCAAGATCATCACAGAGTGGGAGAGAGTTGTGTTCGGTTGTATTTATTGATGGCTTCATTGAAAATATTCAGCATGTAATCGTTGCTGGCCTGTAAGCTAGTTGGGGACATTAGATTCTGTGTGTGTGTGTGGTGTGTGACTCAGTGCTTCTGTAAGTTCACTGCTCATCGGAGAGTGACAGCTTACCTCAGTGGAAATTTAACTGAGTCATCATGTTCGGTGACTGAGCTGAACATGGAGGGTTTAGCACCTCTTGCATCGCAGCAGACACACACATAAGGACACACACAAACACTTCAACCTCGAATGCTTTCATCCACGTTTTTGTGTGAGAAAACTTGCATGATCTGTGCTCAGTTGAGGAAACAATACCTAATACGTGCAGTGTGAGAAAAGCCTAAAGTTCATTACCTTGCAGATTTCCTCACATAGGCACATAACCTGATAACCTGTTGTTGTAATGTAAGTCATGTATTATGCAGGAATGAGTCCTGAAACCCAGAAATGTGTTAGCATTTCAGCTATTCCCACTCCTTCATCTCACAACAATGTTTTTTTGTTATCAACTTGGGTGGCTAACAAGAGGCTTATGTCACTATTAACATCACTTAGCCTTTAGCTTAGCTGACATGAAGCAATGGTGTTGACTGCAATGTCCTTTTTTTATTAGCCTAACTAGCCTATTAGCGATTTACTTAGGCTGATTGCATTTAAAAGTGATTAAAGTTGTGCTTATATGTGGGGATTATCCTGCTAACAAAACAATGCTCTTGTTGAGGAAACTAGCAGATGCTAACTCCTGGGTAAGCCCACAAAATGACCTCATCTAATGAGCGCCTCTCTATTTCCGCAGAGGGGCAATCAACGTGTAAAAGGGGTTAGAGCTATAGTGGAGAGCTAGCAACAGTGCTGTTGGCTTGGTTGCTGGAGAGCATGGGTGGAATTAAGCACATTGGAGAATGAGTTGGAAAAAGACATTTCCTGGTGTGAGCAGAGGGGCGGCTGGGAGGAAGACATCCAGGCGCAGAGGCAATGAGACACCACTTAGCTTCCCCACTGACTGCTCAAACAGACTGGAGTTACTAGTTAGATTCCTGGAAGTTAAGGGGAAGCTGTGAGCTGGATCTGGACCAGTAATCGAGGAATGGCTGGCAGCTACTGTACGTCTGAAGAACGCTGCTGAAGAGCCTTTGGGCAAACTACCAAATTGAACTGAGTAAATTTCCTTTTAAAGGTGCCACCTAGTCTAATGCAAAAATACTGCAACAAATGACACAATATGGTTGAGTAAACATGTGAAACAGAGACAACACTCTTCCCCTATGTTAAAAAACCTGTCTGTCAGTTACAGTTAAACGTTACACCATAAATCAACACATTACTTCCTGTGTTGTGTCATTATTGTTTTGTTTGATTTATAATTTCTCTCCTTTTTTTTCCTCTTCTGTGTATTCAGCTGATAAGACTTACAGTCGGGGCTTGAAAAGGCACACCCTTGCCTGCTCTTGTTCAGCTACTAAAAATAAGCGGTGAAGTAATGTGAAAAACACTGCTCTATTTACATTCTGGTGAGTTACAGCCTCGATGCTGCCCGCCTGCCTTTCAGTGTTGAATCTGGGCTAAATGGCTGAGGGGAAATTTCACTGCTGTTTTTTTTTTGCTGGCCGAGGGACAGGGAGAAACGGTGAGAAAGTGGCTATATACTGAAAGAGGAAGAAGTGAAATAGAAAAACTGAACTGAACTGAAGATACATTCAGTTAAGTGGAAACAAAGTGAATGATGGGCATATAAATGTATACATTTTTTTGTTGAGATGATTAAAAGAGACAGATGGCTGTCGTCATCATCAAACATGTGAGTGGGATTGTGTGCACTGGGACATCTCGTTCCTCCCTAATAGCCAAAGGGACGAAGGGGACAGAAATAACAGACACTGCAGGGCGGATGGTGGATACAAATCTCTCTGGCTGAATTTATGAATGATTGGGATCAGAGGGGCGCGTGGACGGGTGTGTGTGCGTTGCTCAGACCATGCCTGCCATCCCCTCTGACGACACTGTTGTCCTCAAACAGAGAGAGCGAGACGGAGACAGGCGGAGGGACGATACCAAATGCCAAGAGGATCCACAATTGCCCTCACTGTACTCAGCTGGCTTTATGACGTAGATTCTCGAAGCAGGAAGCGTGTTGTAGCTACAGGCTTAAGGGAACATAAGTCCGCAGCATTGACCGATATAGTTACAAACATACATCTCATGCTTTGTTTCGGATTAAAAATGCAAATCAGATTGTAGTGTTTTTAAATGTGACATGTCAGAAGTAATTCATGGTAAAACAGCTCTGTATCCTAACAACACTAAATTCAATTCAAAAGGTTTAAATGATTTGTCTTTCTGCTCATTTTATGAACTTCTTGTTGTCAATTGTTTTGTTGGCTTATGCTAGCTCAATATACTTTTCTTTTTTGTTATTGTTTACTTTCCTCCTTACATTGAGGGGACATTTTTTTTTGGAACTCTTCTCTTCTTTTATGTTGATATCCAGCAGAAACTTATGTCAATCTTGTGATTTATTAAGCAATTTCTTCGACTGCAAAGGTTTTGTATATTTGAAGAGGACAATGTTTGACTGCAGTGCTCTGAAAAAAGAGACCTTTTCCAAGTAGCATGAATATCTCCAACAATCTCCTTTAAAGCTGGAAACAATTTGCAAGGTCTTTGGTGAGTAGAACAATCTCGTAACAAAGCCCTGATTAAGGCACTTAGGGACTGATGGAGGGCAAAATGGTTCGATATGGATAACTAGATCTGGTTCTGTGCACATCAATTGGCCAATCTTTATTTCATCCCACTTCATTAATGACTTCTCTGATATTTCAAATGAATGCATTGTGACAGCAGGCATGGTAGCTGCCGTAGCGAAACCCAACCAGCTGATGATGTAACAAATCATGGACTGAATCCCATATTTTGCCATTGCTCACCTCCCAAACCTCTGATGAGGAAATAGAAGTAAAAGGAGCTTGTCTGCCTCTTATCTGCAGGAAATAGCATTAGGCTAAATTGTACTCTTGGGTTGGGGCATGAAAGAGATGGCATGGCTGTGACCATCATTAGCCCTGTCCCCCGACGTGAGGCCTGCCTCTGATCCAGAGCCAGGGCTGGGCAGGAAGGCAGAAGGTGGGCAGGAGAGGGTCCGCAGCCCTGGGTGGGCTCCACCACTTGGGCCCTGCTAATGGGCAGGCAACCATCAGCCTGGTATGTCGGTATGTGGGCCGCCACTGCTCATACGGACGTCAAGGGATTTAAAATCTGTTGGAGCAGACGACTGTGAAACAAGAGTGGCCACCCTGCCTACACCCACTGCCACTATCACTGACCATCCACCCCTCATCTACTGCTTCACCCAGTGGAGCACAAACTGGTCAGCTCTGGTCCGGTTTAATCGCTTGGTACCGGTTTGCTTTTTGCGTCCATGTTCCCGTGATTCCTACTTCTTCTCAGAGGGATCAAAACAGTTTCTCAGCTCACATCTCACATCCCACAATGCCATGCACTGCTACCAATGAGAACTCAGTCTTTTCCCAGCAGTTTCCACAACGACAGCAATTTTTCCCATGCTCTCCTTTCAGAGAACCTATTTGGGGCATTAGGCTATCAAACCAGCTGAAAATAATAACTCTTTGAGAAGTCAAGAAAAAAGAAATTCTATTCAATGTGCATATATCACTTCTCAATTTAACCCCACCATTGTTTCTAATCACACTCATGCCTTTAAAAAACTCTTTTTTTGTTTAAACTTTCTCCCAGCACAAGTGTTTTCTTTTCTGTAACTATACACTGAAGTGTTACATCCTGTGCTTTAAGAAACAATGAGCTAATTGAAAGGCTAAGCGGCTGTATTTACAGCTCCTATTGTGACCAACGTGTCGGGGTGAATGGCTCCTCTGGCCCTGAGGCAAACTCACAACCTGCCATTCAGGATAACAGCCCTGTCAATGAGAGACGCATATCACCTTTGCTCCCGGTATTTTACGACACAAGGGTCCAATAGTAATACAGCATCCACCCGACAGAGAGCAGAAGAAAAACTATCAAATACTCAGTGTTAGGTGTCTACTGATGGGACACTCAATTGTATATTGTGCAGTAGAAAGGTTGTGATGTACAACAAAGAGCATGAGGCATGGACCTTAACAAAAACAGGTAAGGGGATGTATATTATATAAAAAGTGACACTAGGTTCTCACAACGAGACCAAAGGCTGTGAAACCAGCAGACAGCTTACTGGCCAGCCTATCAGAGGAACACTATTAATACCAGGGGGACGTTGTCCCCTTTTCCCTGAGGGTGAAAGTTGGAGGAAGTCATCGATTCTTCCCACCATAATCTCTGGGAAGGACAGACCTTGCCTTTTCCCTTTTGGGTGACGAGGGTTATTATTCTACAATTTTGAAAGGGCTCACACAAGGGCTATTTCTGTCTCTCAGTGATGGCGAGGCATTTGAGAGTCTGATCCTCTGTAGCACCAACAAACAGTCGTTGTTGCAGCGTCCCCTTCCCAGGAACGTTTCCTGATATCTGTGGGGATTCTTTTTATCTTTGTAAGCGCTATTGATCCAAACAAAGTGTTCAAGCAGTGGTCACTTATTTAAATTTGAACAACCTAAGATTACCCGACAAAGGCTTCTAGTGGTGTCTAATGGTGTTGTTAAAACACTGTAAAACAGCAAGGGATTGGTTGGTTAGTTTGAATAATTGTTCTTAAAACTAATAAGGTCGATCCTTCTATACCAAATCGAAATCATCCTATACCATTAACCCAGTAGTTATGTGCTCTAACCTTACCCTGCCGTGACAATTAGTTTTTGTAGGGCAGTGAGCAACAATCATCTTCCAAGGAACAGTCAACCACCATATTGTCTTATGTATTTGAGTTGGGAAGACTTGCTTTAAAAGTAAGTTGGTAAAAGGCTGAAGCATGATCCAAGGAAGAACCCCATTGGAGCTGAACCGAATCACAGGGCACAGTCATTATTTGTCACTTATGGAAATGGCCTTGGCTTAGATCCTAGCTTTTTTAGGGCTTTTTCAGTATCATTTGTTTCCCCAGACTCTACAGCATGCAGTTTCTAAATTCTCCCTCATAAGTTATGTAGTTATAGTGCTGCTACAACATAATATAACCTGTTGTATTTGTTGGTTGATTGGGTGAATGGGACTTATAGATTTGGATGCCAGAGCAGCTGTCAGAGCAGGTCCTGATGGGGAGGACAAACTGCACAGTGGTTGTGACAGGATGAGGATGAGAGGAAGACAGGCAGCATCTGTGTGTGTGTGTGTGTGTGTGTGTGTGTGTGTGTGTGTGTGTGTGTGTGTGTGTGTGTGTGTGTGTGTGTGTGTGTGTGTGTGTGTGTGTGTGTGTGTGGATCTGGAGCAGTTAGAACAGCATAAGCAGATGTTTCCTCTGTTTGGCTCTAGAACATGAAGAAAAACAAGGGCCTAACCTAGAAGACAGGGGTCTCATTGATAACTTACAGTAACACTCAAACAGCGATACAAAGTTAAGTTAAGTTATAACTAAACAACTTAACACAAGGCCTAATTCTGTTAAGATAATTGCATTTTAAAGGCATATGAGTTGATGAAGCAATTCAGCAATGGTGAATCAGGAAATTCTATGAATATCTTGTGCATTTAATGTAATCTGCATGTAGAACTTGCGTTATACCTGCCTTTGAGAATAAGTCCACACAATGTTTGCAAATGAGTGTGATTTGTGGAAGTTGGTGCAAGAGTTCCAGTGAGGTCCACCTCTGTCCTGATAGTCCCGGTTTTGGTGAGCTGTGAGGAGTGGAGCAGCTGCACAGCGCTAATCCTAACAGGCAAACGTTGTGAACACAAGTGTTCTGCTGCTGCACAGCCAACCACATGTCAAAAGTGTCGAGTCATGCTGAGAGCAGCCACTTGCCCCAGGAATGCTCTATCTATCACACTGGACTACAATGTATGCATTTCCTTTCCTTCAGAAGACTGCGGCCAATTAGCATTAGGGAAGTGTATGGTAAAGTATGGTGTGAAATGAGTGACGACAATCAAGACTTTTCCAATTAGGGTGCAAGTTTATGAAAAGCAAGCTTGTCTTTTGGTGATCACTTATCAACCCAACCCCTAAGTGGCAACCTCTCGTGATGTAAAATGAAGGGTATATGCGGATGTGCACTGCAGTTCCTCGGATGGCCACATAGCTCCAAAAGCGATTCAATCTACATAGACCCCCATGTTAAAAAGCCCAAGACAGAAGAAATCAACAGGTGTTCCCGGTATAAAAAACTGTTTTGTGTAGCTAATTATCCCATTCCTGAGAACTCTGAGTGGTGATTTTTTTTTTATATTGGCAATTTAAATTACATTCAGGGTTAAAATTAAGTTTAATTAAGGGGGTGGCCGCTTTCAATGACAAGTGGGTGCAGTCTCTACAGCTTCAGAAACATACAGTATGGGTGATGTCACATGTATACATTCTATGGGTAAGCATGTCCATCATCTGTAGAAAGATGCTAGTGTAACTCAACAGGGAACATCACTTGCAGGGGATGCAAACTATTTCATAATTATAACATACAATGCGGGATAAAAAAGTTACACAACTTTAAGGATTACTTAACATACAAATGTGTCCTGCCACTTTCAACCCTATTGGAACCAACATTGCTTAGACAACATGTTGAAACTCTAAAGCATGGACAAAGAAAGACGACAACAATAATACTTTTGTATCACTTTTCCCTTCCTTTTCTTTTCTATTCTTCCTCTTTTTAAGTGCCATTGAGCTTAATTCTACTGTCACACATGTTTCAGTGTATTTTGTCATAATTTATTTTGCGGTCTCAAGCAACCTTTTCAAACTCAATTATTTCTGTTTCTTCAGTGATCCATTCTTTTTGAATTTGTGTGCTTGAAGCAATCTAGTTTTTTATGACTAGTTTGCACTTGTGACAAAGACACAATTGCAGACACTGATTGCAGATGGCAAATAATAAAATAAACATTCATAAACGTTCCTTCAGAAACATTTTGTGTATCTATAATTGTAGTCAGGGCATGCACCACAATAAATCTACAGTCACAGCATTACACACATCCACTGTTTAGTCAAAACTGTTAGCCAGGTGTCATTGTGTAATAGCAAGAGTAGCATACTTAACTGCATAATACCAAATTATTTTATCGATTCAATTGTTTTATTTATTTAAGGTATTTTACCAGGAACAGTGATTCTTATAATGCATAGTATTTATTCAGTATAAGAACTGGCAGTAACATGTCTGATTGTTTACAATGCAAGACAATTGATCTATCTAGTCTGAGAGTGGCGAAAAACCTGACATGTGGCTAAAAATCCCTTTTGCTGTCTATTAAAAATTGCATCAATTATATTGTTGGTCCTTTTGTTTTTGCCTGACTATTTTTGTAAATAAAAGCTCCTCAAACTAATTTTTTGCAACTCTCATTTGCCATTTTGTTATCTTTCTTTTTTCTTTTTGTAACAACACTTGTTTTCTTGCTTATTACCTTTGAGGTGGTAAAAGTAGCTAGAACTACTTACAAATAAAAAAGAAGGTATATGGTGTGGCAAAAAAAAGAACATCTCTACACTTCTATCCTATGATGAACAATGTGTTATACATTATCGCGACATAATAAATTTGATTAGCAATTTAAAAAAACAATTCGATCATTGTGTGCAAAATGATAGAGGCAGCGAAAGCACCTAAACCTAACATTTACAGGAATCCATGCCTGTGTGGTTTCGATGGCAGAGAAAGACACGGTACTGGTATCATATCATTGTGATACTGAAAATGACAGTAACAAGGTCAATAATAGATCACTGCTGACCTTTACCTTAATGAAAGCTACTTGTATTTCCTATTGTCAGGGATTTATACACCTGCAGCAAGTGTGAGAATAAACAACACCAGCCATGAACTTGACAAACCCTAATATGACATAAGTGAAGTAACTCCACAAACATGCGGTTGTGAAACACATGTCAACATCAGCACAGGCCGGCTAATCCCAGCTACAATAACTTTCAAGTAAGATCAGTAATGAGCCACCATTTCCACTTACTCATAACGTTTCTTTTTTTTTTAAAACAAGCATGACAGAAGAAGATAAACAGGCAGAAGAAAGCTTTTTTAAAGCTCCTGCGACCGACAGACAAGCAAGCGAAACTGGTTTCAATCAAAACAAAACTAGAAGCCCAGCAGCGCTAAGATCTATTGTTAACAGAGATGGCATCTGAGGATAGCAGGAGCATTCACAAACACAACCTATACCAGCTTCTCGGAGCATTAACACCTAATTGATTGTTTCCTCTTTCCTCTGTCATGTGTCATCTGCATCTCATGTTTCAGGACATGCATGACACATTTCCTTACACACAGCCCAGGGCTATTTGACATGTAATGTGTAAACAGATTGTGAGTCATTCAAATTATGATCATTCAGGCGAGTTTGGCTTGAGATCCAGCAAGTTCAAACACAGAAATAGGACGCATGGACGAGATGTTGCTCACATGAATCGGTAGCTCACGTAGGCAAAGAGAAGAAAAGAAAAAGTCTTACCTGAGATCACCTCCTGAGGCTAGTCCTGAGCAAATCCCACTGATGCCATTCCTAGAAGACACAATATGCAGTCAAGTATGAAGACAGTCAGAGGGATGGTGAATGATTTTAGATAATGACATTTGCAGGTAACACAGAGAAGCACCGCAGGCACAGAGTTCTGTAAGTTGTCATCATTACATGCCATTACATACCATGACAACAAATGGGAAATTCCTGAGAATCGGATAAAATAAGCCCTGACACAATTTGGTTGTTGTGAAATTAAGTCTTTAATGTGTCTAAGATATGATACTTTGTCACTGTAGTAATTTTACAGTTTAAGTGGGTGTGACATTTCAAGCACTGGTAAACACAAAAAATTGTTTTAAAGGACGCCCTATTATGCTATTATAGAGTTTCATGTTTTGTGCCTCTACTGTGATGTTTCAATGTTCAAAAAGCTCTTTATTCTTCTCATACTACCTGTGCTGCAGCACCTCTTTTCACCCTCTGTCTGAAACCAGAGCCCAGTCTGCTCTGATTGACTATCTGGCCGGCTCTGTTGTGGTCAACCGCTTAGAGATGTCCCGCCCCTTAGCCTATCACGTACAATGTGTTGGAGCGCTAATCACAAGTGTAGCGTAGTGATGCCACTATGTTTTAGCCTTTGCAGAACATTTACATACACACAACCCTATATTACACACGACAGGAAAGGGAAACCCCAAACAATTATAATATGTCCCCTTTAATAATTATTGAATTAAATTACAATAAAACAGAAGTGTGCCCGTCACATGAAACCAGATCTCATAGCAGTGGTTTCATGTAACATGAGAAAAGAAGCTGAGTTAATAAATAACTACTATTTCTTCCCCTCCTCTCATACGCACTTGAGGCCTTGTCACTCATCACAATGATTTGGATGAGGAGAGCAGATTATTCCACAAAGGAGCCAATTGACTTAATGCTAAGTCTCCTTCCTATCGGGTGTAATCTCCTGCTTTCCTCATAGAGATCATCTTATGAGAGCGATGCAGTGAAGCCTGAGGACCTTTCAGCACGGCGGGTCAGAATGCTAACTTGACTTCCGAAAGGTAAGGCCCCACCCTTCTCTCCCGGAGCTTCGTTTTAAGGGAAGATAAGGTTCAATTCACCTAGGGGGAACATAAAGAGTGGGAGACGAGTGAAGCAGTAATGGAGCATGGGAGGTGGGGAAGCTGTGGCATAAAAAGGCAGTGAAATGTGAAGTTGTCCAAACACATATTTTCCCTTTTGTTTTCCAAACCGAGTGAACACAGCGGGAAAACAAAGCAGGTGAAAAGCAGCGAGGTTTGAGTTAGATCCCTCAATCTTCAGAAGTCAGGAAATGGGATCAGCTGAATGAGGAGCAAGACATCCAGGACTTAAGATCCGGCATTGTCTGAGGTGGCTTTTTAAACGTCTCCTATTATCCATCCTGGTCTTTGAAACCTGAGCTCCTGGCACAGCACATCAGTTACCTGCTTCCTGATAAACACACAGACAAACCTCACCAGTATGCAATTCACAGGAAACCTGGATCAACTGTTTGTCCTGTATCTCTATCCAAACCAGTTTGATGGCATGGGACAATATTTATAACAGTTGATGAAAGTGCCAAAGAGCTGCACCTTCCTCTTTTTCTTTGGAACTCTGTCATTGTTTTTGCGTATTTCCCTTAATCCTCTCTGCCCCTATCTCCATGCATGAGTGCGCTAACAGTGTATTAACAGCTTAAAAGCCTGTGTTGTGTCCTGAGATGACAGCAGCTGCTGGGATGGGCCACACCGAGAGCAAGAAAATGCTTCAATGAAAGGGGAATCTCCCACAATGCCACACTCATTAGCGCTTCAAACAGCCCATCTTCAGTTCAGAAGCAGTGGATAAACAGCTGCATTTTCTCAGGGTATTAGCTAGTTTCTGTGTGCGTCTGTTTGGGTGTGTTACACAATGTTATAACAATTCATCCAGGTGGGTGACGACAAAGAGAGAAGTGGGCAGGTAGAATCCCAGACTCACTCTGGCTCCCTAATCTCTCCTTTCTGACACACACTTTGATTTGTGAGTCGATCCAAAGCCTGAGCAAACAGCCCGTCCCGTCGCCACCCAAATAAAGACTGCGAGTAACTTTCAGTCAACTCTTTGGTCTCCCCAGCATTTGTTCAAGGAGGTTCACCTATCTTTTCAACCCCAGGTTAAGTGAAAGGAGAATCAGTTGATTGGTAGATTTCAGTGTCCTCCCCAATTCTCTTTGTCAGGCTGTTTATTTGAGGCCTGTTAAGAATTCCCCCTCGCTGTTTGTCCCTCGCCAGCATGACCAGGCAGATGTTCCTTCATAGATTCACACTTATAAATGCATGAAAACATACAATCACGCAACACAATGTTGACAGAGATGTTTCAGATGATCACACATAGAGGACAGATAAAAAAGAAATAATAGATAACCAGGAAGAAAACAGAGGAGAGAGGAAGGTGACGAAGGGAAAGAGCTGCAGGCACTTCATAGGACAAAGACATGAATTCCTGTCCTGTTTAAGCAGGTAAGCATAATTTGTTCTTTGACTTCATACTGAGAGCGTCTATTAAACATCTGTGGAGCTGATAAAAATACAAAACAAGTCATATCTATTCCGAGCCACCCTACACTTACCCACCCTAATCCAGTGAGCCATGCAGTAGCACTTGTTAAAAACACTGCATACTGTATACACTGCTGCTAAGAGCCTGGCAGTCTTCTAAATGTTAGCATGTTTTTTAGCCTCTGCACAGGTGACCTTAATGGCCAGAGGCATTATATACTACAAATGTTAAGAGTACTACTATTACCAGTATTGTTACTACTACTAATGATGAATAAGGAGTAATAGAATAAAGTTGGGACATTAAAGTGCCATGATTATGGGTGTTTGATGATAGTTACCAGTTTTATTTTGAAATATATTTTCCTCCTTGTGTCCCTTCTGGTTTTACTTCCTGTGTTTTCCCTCCTGTGTGTTCACCTGCTGCCCATGTGTTTCACCTCCCCTCTCCAGCTGTGTCTTGTCTCTGTGATTATCTTGTGTGTATTTAGGTCTGTCTTCCCTTATGTTCTGTGTGCGATCGTCATCTATGTTTCCTTCCTGTCCCTGTCCGCGTTTCTGCTCCTGTTCTTTGTGTCCTCTGGCTGGTACTTGTTCGTTTTTCTTTGTTTTGTGGTTTTTACGTTACCTGGTCTGGTCCCTCTTTTTGTTACAGCTTTTTAAATAAAAGCTTGCCTTTTGTTTATTTTCCAATAACTGCCTGCCCTGTCTTGGTAATGCGCTTGGCTCCAGCAGCCTTACCCTCACCGTAACAGATCTAGAGTATAGGATATTTTGCTGTTAGGTGCAGTGGTCAAATGAGCTAAATGAATTTGCAAAATATGTTTTAATGACTTCATCAATCATGTTGTTGTAATGGATGGACAATTGAACCGGCAAGCTAACCAATCAGAGCACACTGGGCTCTGGTTTCAGACAGAGGGTGAAAAGAGGTGCTGAAAAATAAAGAGCTTTTTGAACATCAAAGCATGGAAATATGTCACAGTAGAGGAACAAACTACAAATATGAACCAGAACATTAGCACAATATGTCTTCTTCAAAATTGACCAACATTATTCAGATTATACTGATAGTGGTTTGATAAGGAAAGCACTGAAATAGTTGTGCTTAATGATGTCAGCATTCCAAGGTAAGCGGCAGGTGAGCTGTAGTAGAGTGCTGCTAAAGAGAGCTTACCCTTTCACATAAAGGCTGACAGTGAAGGAGTATTGAAGAAGTGATGGAGTAAAAGACCAAGCGGTTCACAGCAATAAAAGTGATACATCAGATCTGCTGTGACCCCACACTGTGTCCTGCAGTCTCTGTGTGTCCCACCACAATCCTTCACATGTCCTACTTAAGACGCGAAACCTGTGCTGACAGCTCAACCTGCTGACCCCTGTGACCCGTCTGCCCCCTCCTCCTGGGGCGGGACGCCGCTGGAGGGAGGAAGTGACACGGCTGTGGAGGTGAGAGGTCGACTCAGACCATGCATTTCAAGTGGAAGGGAACAAGATGGATGGTGGCGGCTGCGGCGGAAGCAGCATGTTTTTACTAGTCAAAGAATCTCAAAGGTTTCCCCCCCCCCCCAAAGGACAACAAATGTGTCTTGTTGGTTATGGTTCACTCTCTCCCTGAGGCTAGGGAAGATATCCTTAAGAGGAGGTTAACTCGAAGAAGCAAAGAGTTTACACTGCAGACCTTTCCTGTTGCTCAAGATGTTTTTCCTATTTTCTACAAGTTTTCTCTATCTTTGGGATACTCACACTTGGACTTGTCTTCAATACTCATCTCACCTGCCTCGGTTTCAACTGAAACCCTTTATTTATTTATTTATTTGTTAAGCCTGCTTCCTGATTTTGGCAACGGGCGCTAACGGTAGTAAACAAAACAGTAGAGGACGCCAAGCTAAAGAAGGTTACCTGGGAAAAAAACTAGAAAATCTTGTACTGCTAAAAGCTTTTGGACATGCCTTGTATGCATGGAGCTGGCCTGAATTGAGTCTTCACTTAATGTATTCTATCCAACTGACTAAGTAGGAAGTGCCATCAATCCAAAGAGTAGATACCGAAACAAGGCATTGACTTGGAGCTGCACTATCATGGTTGTTAGCTTTGAATCACTTGCGTTACGGTAGCTTCATGTTTTACTAATGCAATTTTAGTTGTTTGAACTTAAACCCTTATAAATACTATGTAAAGCTGGAACAACAAAATGTCAGATATACCAGAAGCTCATACAAAACGATTGTTTGAGATATGTGAATCACCTGAGAGCAGTTAAGGGTTAAGGAAAGGTGTACTGGTTGAATTGTGGAAGTGACAACATTGACAGGAGTTTGGATGAGAACAAAGCCGCCCAGTCAAGATGGGTGGTTGAGTCAAGCTAAACCACCTCATCTATAAAATCCACACTCCACACGTTTGTTATTGTAAGTCTACACAGGAGGCAATACAATCTTTATCATGTCTGGTGGACATTTTTCT